GATCAACCGGAAACAGCACTGTTAAATACTAGCACTAGAAAGTTATTTCTTTAATGCTCCACTTGTCAGAAAAATTAGATGATATCTGAAACTAACAAAGAGCAGTACATAAAATCTTGTCGGATATGACAAAGACCTGTTCCGAGGCCTGAATGGTAAAAGTATATAAAGAAAAGTCACATAATTAAATGAATTTATTTAAATCTCAAAAAACAATTATTGGCCGGTGCCGTGGCTCACTAGGCTAATCCTCCACCTTGTGGCGCCGGCACACCGGGTTCTAGTCCCGGTCGGAGCACGGATTCTGTCCCGGTTGCCCCTCTTCCAGGCCAGCTCTCTGCTGTGGCCAGGGAGTGCAGTGGAGGATGGCCCAAGTGCTTGGGCCCTGCACCCCATGGGAGACCAGGAGAAGCACCTGGCTCCTGCCATCGGATCAGCGCGGTGCGCCGGCCACTGGAGGGTGAACCAATGGCAAAGGAAGACCTTTCTCTCTTGTCTCTCTCTCTCACTGTCCACTCTGCCTGTCCAAAAAAAAAAAAAAAAAAAAAAAAAAAAAAAAAAAAAAAATTATTGGTAGGACTTTAAATTATTATATAAAGCTATTAAAGATTTATGTTAAAAAAATGGCTCTGAGGGCCAATATAGAGGTAGTTGACCTGTCATGCAGGCTCTGCTACTTCTGTGTGATATGGATTAAGCTGGGGTGCTGCTGACCCTCTCTGTGTCTGTTTTCTCATTGGTCAAACAAGCAAAAACAGTACCACCACTCAAGAAGTTAATACACACCAAGCACTGAGAGAAGTCCTGGCAAACAGAGCTCAGTGCATTTAGCATATTATTCTTTTCATTCTAGTGTAAGGCTAGGTAATGGCAGACCTGTATCTGAACAAAAGATTCCCCACTCACTCCTCATACTCAAGTCATTCGACAGAACTAAGCGTTGGCTGACACCAGGCCTGGCACTAGACAGCAGGCACAGTCCTTGGAGCTTTTTGGTCTTCAGATGTCACCAATTCTTCCAAGGCTATTTCCTCATCTAAAAAAGGGACACCTACCTGTCTCATAATGTTACTGTAAGGATCAAATGGAGCAACATACGTGAGAGCACTCTGAAGACTTTGTAAAGCATCACTGAGTGAGACTTTTTGGTTAAGGTGTATTCTAGGGGCCAGTGCTGTGGTGTAGTGGGTAAAAGCCACCACCTGCAGTGCTGGCATCCCACATGGGTGCTAGTTTGAGTCCCAGCTGTTCCACTTCCCATCCAGCTCTGTGCTATGGCCTGGGAAAGCAGTGGAAGATGGCCCAAGTCCTTGGGCCCCTGCATCTGCAGGGCAGACCCAGAAGAAGCTCCTGGTTCGTGACTTCGGATCAGCCAGCTCTGGCCATTGTGGCCATTTGGGGAGTGATTCAGCGGATGGAAGACCTCTCTCTCTCTCTCTGTCTCTGCCTCTCTGTAACTCTGCCTTTCAAATAAATAAATAAATCTTTAAAAACAAAAAAGATGTAAGTATTCCGGTGTAAGCTGCTGGACACATGTTACAGGAATGTGATTCAGACTGGACTTTCTCAAGACAAGCTTATAACTCACAGTTCCAGAAGGTCCTTTAAAAATTTTTAATAATACTGTAGGAATGTTTCTTTGTAACTATAAGATTATTTATAAAATACTAATATGATTCATTATAAAACTACATTTCTCTTCTTGAGCCTTAAATTGATGGAAAATATTAATGTATCAAATAGTTGGTAGAGAAATAATCACCTTTAGAAATTACAGTTGCAAAGAAAATGTCAAGCTATTTGTGCCTATGGCCACAATTTTTTTATTATTACAAAGCCAATAACTAAAAAGTTTTATAAAATACTAACCGCTCAATGATAAGGCAACTACGTAAGCCTCATTTTAGAGAGTCAGAATCCAAGTCCACGCTCTGAGCCACTGCACTACATTATACAACAGAAATACTAGAAGGAGAAAGCCATAATCATTTCTGTCTTCACCAGGCCGCACACTTAAGGAAAGAGAACCAGTAGATCAAAAGACACCAAACAGTGTTCTGATCTTTGGTAATAAAAGTGACTTTAGGGAAGTTATGTAAGTGCTTATGACTCAATTTTAAGTATTTAAAAAACTTTAGTTCTTTTCCACTGGTTTTAAGAATAACAAACTGTTCACTGAAAAAAAAATCCAGAAGTGTAGAATTAAAATTAAAACATCCATCTGTACATGTTTTTAGGTAATTGTGAATCATGGAATTTAGTTGGTTTTTGATGATTGTTCTTAAGCAGGAAGCCAACTATGATGGACAGACTGAAATGTTTTTAATTAGCAGATATAAACTAGTAGTAAATATTGTGCAGGTAGAAAAGAAAATTATATTATAGAGGTAAGTATTTTCAATATCTTCCCCAATCTTTCAACTATGGAAAAACAAGCAAAGAACAACCTGGTTCGGTGGAATTAGCTTCAAAGTATACTGCCCATAAAAAGAAACATGTAAGTAATTCTTGAATGGATCTTTTTATCTGTATATGCATACACACACACAGACACACATACTCATCCAGACACATGTTAGGCTGTGTTCAGATGTACAGTTTTTTCTGAAGGCCTGATAATAGAACATCTAAATATATTATTCAAATAGTAAAGGAGAAAACTCATTGAACTTTGCCAAAGTTACACTTTACAGGTGATTAAACTGCAAGGTGTTCCTTTGTGAGTAGGTTAAATATTTGCTTGAGATAGAATATTCAAGATAAGCAAGATTCTTTATAGGGATATTAATCCTGAGTACAAAGTCAGAAAAAATCTAATAACTATGAAATATCACGAGGAGGGAAAAAAGTTAACAAATCAGCAGAATAATTTAGGGCAAAGATTAGGTATTATGTTGAAGTGTGTATAACGCTACCTCACTGCCATTTTGATTAATGTGACCTACACTCTTTAAACTACCACCGAACACAGTAATTTAGGGAGAAAAGCACAAATTAAAAAAAATATACACAACCCTTACAGAAAAGAGAAGGCAGACATGGATCAAGAAGTTTTAAAAATAAACTGTGTAGTACTTCCTCTTATATTAGAGGCTTATGCTAGTCATAGATTCTTGGAACCTATTTATATTGCTTTAGTGTGACTTATCAAAATAATACTAATCCACTATAAATAATATTTTCAATGTAAAAAACAAAGCAGAGTGGCAGTGGGTAAGGAAACAAATTCAATAAAACTATACTTTGAAAGTCACGAAAAGGATAAACTTAACAATAACCTAAAACTCTGTTTAAACAAAGGGAAAATTAAGGGACTCTAAAAGATATTATGGATTTTTACCATACATGCAAATATGTAATATATACTGTATGTTTGTATATTACACTGAAAAATAAATTATTAGTTATTTCTAAACTAGCAAGTTAAAATTAAATACACTTCTTTTAGAGAGTGAAATTGTTTATGTCCTGAAACAGGAAGTCTTTGCATCCTTTCAACTAAAATGAGATTAACTAAGGCCTATTTTCCACAAAAGAGAATGTAAATGTTATACATCCTTTTATGACAGAACATTTTTTTCCTGGTTGTTTGTGGAGAAAAAGGTTTATGAGGTAATTACTTGTGCATATAATTTTTAATTTTACATTGATGCTTCTCTTAAAAACATGTTAGAAGGCTGCTAAGTAAATCAAAGTCATAAGCTATCCATTCTCTTCATTCAGAGATTTAACCTTATGAATAAAACAAGCGAATACTATATTTCCAGAAACAGTGAAGTGGGCAGATGATGGTGCTAAAAAGATTACATTTCAAATACAGCATTGTTTTTGAAGGAGGGGAAGCATATTATGCCATACTGTCTATAAATATTTATTGAATAAATAAACATGGTTCACCTGTTGTTTTAAAAAAATCCTGTAAGTGCCTAAGTCACAAATACGTTCAATTAGTTTTAGGAAAAACAGGAATAGGTTAAATTATGGTAATTCAAAAAACTACCTTCAGTGGCTTTTTCTTTTGTGGTTAAAAAACCAAGATAGCAGTGTCATCAAATCACTACATATTTCAGGCTTAATATATTCAAGAGTAATATATTAGAATATACGATACTTAATATAGTATTTTGGTACTATAGTATTATAGCACCATAACAGTATGAAAGTATTTCACATTGGAAATTTCACTTTGAGGAGTTAAAAGTGATTTTTAAAAACATCATAGCAAGTGACCATAATTTAAAATTTGAATATAAGAACCACAAAACCCAAAATCATAACCTAGCAAACCTTCATTGAATACTTACAAATGAAATGTAAGTGCTAAAACAACACATATACCCATTTACATGAGATTCAGCTACACAATAAAGCCTTTATCACACACAGTAATGTATCCTTATGTCTCTTTCTCCATGGAAGTCATAATACTTCTGAGGACTCATTTGTTAACTGGAAGAAGTTTAGAGGAGTGGGTCTATATGCACTTAGAGATTCTATGTTCAACTGTTTCTGTATAAAGTTACAAGGCATTAATAATGGCATATTAAAACAAATAATTTATAATAAAAATAGATAAAAATTATCTTAAAAATATCTCAGTAGAGAAAATCACAGAATAAAGATCATATTTACCAGCCATGTATTCTTCAGTTTCTACTGTGATGAAAATACCTTTAGTGGGGCAGAAAATAGACCTCATGTCTTGAATGGCAGATGTCCTTATATAAACACGTGGACTAAAGCATAGGTTCTTTCTAAAGTACTGCGAAATGTACACATTCAAGTGTGCCAACAGCTATTAATAAAGGTAGCAAAAGTAGGTTAAAATACCTAGTATTACTACTATCAGTATTCACTGCAAATTGTGATAATGTTCTCTCCTCTACTGTGGACTTCAGTCTTATGCAGAATAGCAGCATAGATTATAATATTATGGTTCAAACGATGGTCAGTGAGTTAGCTTGCACACAGCCAGAATGAAGGAATTTTTTTACAATATAAAAAGTAAACAAGGAGCATTGCTTTATTTTAGTGACATCTGCTAGAAACGGGGAATGGCGTCTTGGTTTCCAGAGGCAGAAACTAAGTTTTCCTCGTAAGTCATAGTGACGGTCAGGAGGCTGGGGCTGTGGGGAGGACTGCCATGCCTTCTAGAACACATGCCTGAGCTCCACGGGAGCTGCGCAGCCTTGCTGCGTGTCACTTATCTGCAGAGGCTGCCTGAACAGGACTCCCTGCATCATACAAGCGCCACTATCCGCGCTGCAGTAATAGAGCAGAACACTGACACACACAACAGCGTCAAGGGACAAGCAATGGCCAGGAACTTGCAGAGAAATCGTTGGCTGGCTGGACATGCTCTCTATCTCTCCAGATGGCGTCTGTCCTTGAAGAAGCCATTCATTGCCTAGAAAACAAAAAATGAGTAAGACTGCAGGGAATTAGAAAAAATTCTCATGAAGACTGGATTCACTCAACCAACAAGTATTTACTGAAAGCACGTCAGTGTCAGGCATTCGGCTCTGCGGGAAGACCAGAACTACAAATAGGAGGCAGTGTCCACCACGAGCAGTTCCCAATCTGACGATTTTGAATTCAGTTATTATAATTCTTCCCTTTGTTTAAACACTACAAAATAAATTATAAATTTATTTCTACTGAAATCAACTTAAATATTGCAAATATGGTTATAGACCCCAAAGATAAAAGTTTCAGAAATAAAAAAGATGCTGGAGAAAAAGACCACTTTTATCAAATATATAAACCTTGAGAGACATAAAAACTACAAAATAGACTTTACATAGGGAATACAAATAAACTTTATAATTCTGCAGTGACTTTCTAGTTAAAATAATGATAAGTTATTGAGTTTCCAAAAGTAATAATAAAGAAACCACTGATTTCTTTAGAAACAGGTACAGGGTCCTTTCTCTGAAGGGAGGAAAGAACTTCCACTTTGACTATGACCTTGTCTAAATAAGATAAGAGTCGGAGAACTCAAAAGGCTTCCATAGCCTTGGAAACTCATGACTGGAGCCTAGGAGATTACTGATGCCATAAACAAGAGTGTCAATTTGTCAAGTCAACAACAGGAGTCACTGTGCACTTACTCCTCATGTAGGATCTCTGTCCTTAATGTGCTGTACATTGAGATTTAATGCTATAACAAGTACTCAAACAGTATTTTTCACTTTGTGTTTCTATGTGGGTGCAAACTGTTGAAATCTTTACTTAATGTATACTAAACTGATCTTCTGTATATATAGAAAATTGAAAATGAATCTTGATATGAATGGAAGGGGAGAGAGAGCAGGGAAGGGGAGGGTTGCGGGTGGGAGGGAAGTCATTGGGGTGGGGGGGAGCCAATGTAATCCATAAGCTGTACTTTGGAAATCTATATTCATTAAATAAGAGCTAAAAAAAAAAAAAAAGAAACAGGTACAGGGTATACATAATCTCCATGGGCTCCCATTGTCTACCTGATTTTAATACGTAAAATTCTTCTTAGACTTAAATACAGATTATCTAACAAAAGTCTAGTAAACCACTTAAAATTGTTTAAGTAGTCTGGTGTCAAGGTTTTCTTTAAATGTCTTTATTCACTTCAAGGCACACACACACGTGCTTCGCAGTGAGAAGGCGCATATGTAAACTGACCATCAGCTCACGCAGGGGTAGGAGCAGTATTCCTGTCATTTTACACAGAGTGCAGTGAACACGATCTAAGACTTATGAACGCCCGGGACATCCATACACAGCCTACACCACCTACTGAGCCGTGGTGAAACGCTGTCTACTGCTTGGCTTCTATTTCTTTCCTTTGTCCTCAGGATGAGTCAACAGACTCGGTACCTGCTTCTCTCAGTCCTCTACAATCTCCTTTAGTTTACTGCTTATAGGATTTTACTGACTGAAAGGAAAACTCAAGAAAGATATTTTACATAAGAAGGTTCAAGGCGGCTGGCACCTCGGCTCACTAGGCTAATCCTCTGCCTTGCGGCGCCAGCACACCGGATTCTGTCCCGGTTGCCCCTCTTCCAGGCCAGCTCTCTGCTGTGGCCCGGGAGTGCAGTGGAGGATGGCCCAAGTGCTTGGGCCCTGCACCCCATGGGAGACCAGGAGAAGCACCTGGCTCCTGCCTTCGGATCAGCGCGGTGCGCCGGCCGCAGCCCACCAGCCGTGGCGGCCATTGGAGGGTGAACCAACAGCAAAGGAAGACCTTTCTCTCTGTCTCTCTCTCTCTCTCACTGTCCACTCTGCCTGTCAAAAAAAAAAAAAAAAAAAAAAGAAGGTTCAATGCAACAACAGAAGTGCGGTGCTTTTATGTAGGAGCTTTTAAATAATTTAAAAAAATTCTCTATAAAAATCTTTGGCAAGCTTAGCTTCTTTCTGTTTTATTTAATGCTTAACTTTGCTAGTAAGAAAATCAGTAGAGAACTTATACTTTAAATCAGAGTAAGAAAATAATAAATTATGTTATTTTACTGTCCAAGTCTAGAAATAAAAATGTTTTAGATATTTCTCACATATATCATAGAGTTTGTAAAGTTATGATAAGAGGGGCAGGCGCTGTGGTGTAGTGGGTAAAGCGCTGGTTTGAATCCTGGCTGTTCCACTTGCAATCCAGCTCTCTGCTATGGCCCTGGGCTCCTGCACCCACGTGGGAGACCTGGCGGAGGCTCCTGGCCTCAAATCGGCACAACTCTGGCCGTTACAGCCAACTGGGGAGTGAACCAGCGGATGAAAGACCTTTCTCTCTGCCTCTGCCTCTCCTCCTCTCTCTGTGTAACTCTTTCAAATAAATAAATAAATCTTTAAAAAAAAAGTTACAATATGACAGTGGTGTTATTACACTGCTTTCTTGGGGGGAGCAGAAGGACTTAAAAACTTTCACATATTCTAACTACTTTAAATTATAGGGACCAAAATTCAGTTAAAAATAAGCGCTTCCATTTCTATTTAGCCAACTAAGAGAAAATGTTTGTTACTATAAGTATACAATAAATTCCATGAAATAGTTTTCAAAACCCTAAATTATTTGGCTAAACCTTATTTGCCTAAATAAAAAGAATGAAGCTGTTATCTTGGGTAAGTGATTAAAAAAGCTAAATATTTTCTCTATAGACTTTTTCACTTTCCTTTAATACCATCCATAATTTATGTTCAAAGAACTCAATTAATTTGTGCATCTGACAAAACAGTTAAAATAAACATACTAATTTGTCAATATGCTATTTTAAAAATTAATACACTATTTTTTAATCACACAGTGAATACAGAATGCTTTCAGACAGAAGTTAAACTGGCACCTATGATTTGCTGTGAACCTAGCAGGCTGTGGAATGGCCAGAATCTAAGTACTCTCTCCATAGGGCTACTCCCAAACATCAGAGCGCCACATGGTCGGCCTCTCCCTTGTGAACGGTAAGATGGTTTGGTTTCCCCAAGAGCTCAATCCCAAGAGCCAGCCTCCTAAACGCTCAGAGGCAGTTCCTCATGGCTTGCCTACTAAGATCTCTTCGGCCTCTTGGTTTGGACACAGAGCTGAGAGTTACAGGCCAGCAGCTGCTGCCCCTGAGAAGGTATGAAGGTAAGAAGGCACGGGGCAGGATTTGGGTCAAGTACAGAACAAAAGTGTGCAAGAGGGTATGAGGGAGGAGCAGTTGGGGAGGAAATGAAAGATTGGGTGAGATCGTGTGAAATGAGCGTGGGAGACTAGGACAGAGGAAGACCATTAGAGACAAGAAGTCGTGCTTTAGCGTTCTGGACCACTGCTATTTGACTTTAAAACTGCTGGCCCCTCTGTACAGTGTTGGAAAGCACAGCCACAGGCAAGCAGCCTTCTGATTTGCTATCATCAGTTAATGAAAGAAGGAGCTGGCTCACACTGATTCACACACAGAAAAGGAATGGAAGAATGAATAAAGTTGACTGGGAGAGGCCGGCGCTGCGGCTCACTAGGCTAATCCTCCTCCTTGCGGTGCCAGCACACCGGGTTCTAGTCCCGATCGGGGCGCCGGATTCTCTCCCCGTTGCCCCTCTTCCAGGCCAGCTCTCTGCTGGGGCCAGGGAGTGCAGTGGAGGATGGCCCAAGTCCTTGGGCCCTGCAACCCATGGGAGACCAGGAGAAGCACCTGGCTCCAGCCATTGGATCAGCGCGGTACGCCGGCCGCGGCGGCCATTGGAGGGTGAGCCAACGGCAAAAGGAAGACCTTTCTCTCTGTCTCTCTCTCTCTCACTATCCACTCTGCCTGTCCAAAAAAAAAAAAAAAGTTGACTGGGAGGCGGAGGTACAGAAAAAGATACTTATTAAGAAGAATCCTCATTGTTGCTCTACTTCAGATCGGAACTCTGAGAAGTTCACTTTGGGAATAAGAAAAGAATAAAGACCAAGGTTAGAATAGGGGAAGAGGTACGTGAAATCTCACACTCCAAGAAAGCACGCTAAAAGCTGACACGTAACTTCCGGTGAGTCACGCTATTCTTTAATAAAAGGAGGGGAAAGGATCTTGAAGAGTAAAGAAAATTGCCAAAGTGGAGTTAGATCTGGATTCGGTTTTTCACATTCTCTCAATTTTGCTCAATTACAGAGTAAAAATGTCTCAAAACAAATGAGAAAAAGTACTAGATTAAATATCAGGAATTTATGAAGTATTTCCACTTGCAAGATCAACGCCCATACCTTCAGCTGTCACAAACCAGCAACTGGGCACTCCTTCGGTTAGCTTCGTTCCCGATGGCAGGTCTAGTCGTAGCTTGAACTGGAGGGTCTGGCCAGGACGCGCGGTCACAGGGGAAAGCCTGATGCTTGCAGCAGATTTAGGCAGCTTGGGTAATGTCTTCTGTGTTTCTCCCAGGACCGGACCATCTACCACAGAACTTGCAGATCTGAAGATGGGGAGCTAAGAAATAAGAAAATCTGTTATGAAAGTATACTTCGTAGTAATTGTGGAGTGAGGAAACTTATTTTTAGACTTTGGAAAAAAAATGAAGTTCTGTATCAATAACCTAATTGCCATTCTACTCTGAGTTAGAATGTTTACCTAAGACACCCTCAACATTATTTGGAGGTGCAGAAAGCTAATTTATCTTGGCAAAAAGATTATCAACTTGGGAAAGAGACAGAATTACATTAATTGTCCAACATGTTTACAGATGATGGGAAATGAAAACTAAACTATGAGTGCAGGAGAGACATTCTCTATGTGTAACTGTATTATTCATCTTATATAGAGATCTGTATGAAGAGAAATGACACTTGGGATGATATACCTTGTAAATTACTAGAATGTTAGGGAACAAAAAGCTTTTGTATTTTTTTCAGTTTCACCAACAGGCAACTTTTTTTTTTTTTTTTTTCACATTTGAGTCATCATTTACTAATTTCAGTTAGTGGCAATACATTGCTTAAGACATATGTTTTTTTTTTTTTTTTTTTACATTTTTTTTAACTTTTATTTAATGAATATAAATTTCCAAAGTACGATTTATGGATTACAATGGCTTCCCCCCCAATACCGTCCCTCCCACCCACAACCCTCCCCTTTCCCACTCCCTCTCCCCTTCCATTCACATCAAGATTCATTTTCGATTATCTTAATATACAGAAGATCAGCTTAGTATACATTAAGTAAGGATTTCAACAGTTTGCTCCCACACAGAAACATAAAGTGAAAAATAATAGATGATTTTTTTTAAATGATGATGAAATCAGATCAGACCTATTGTCATGTTTAATCCCAGTGAGAGTCAAGTTGGGAATTGATAATTTCTTTTTTTTTTTTTACAGAAGATCAGTTTAGTATGCATTAAGTAAAGATTTCAACAGTTTGCACCCCCATAGAAACACAAAGTGAAATATATTGTTTGAGTACTCATTATAGCATTAAATCTCAATGCACAGCACATTAAGGACAGAGATCCTACATGAGGAGTAAGTGCACAGTGACTCCTGTTGTTGACTTTACCAATTGACACTCCTGTCTATGGCATCAGTAATCTCCCTATGCTCCAGTCATGAGTTTCCAAGGCTATGGAAGCCCTCTGAGTTCTCCGATTCTTATCTTGTTTAGACAAGGTCATAGTCAAAGTGGAGGTTCTCTCCTCCCTTCAGAGAAAGGTACCTCCTTCTTTGAAGACCTGTTCTTTCCACTGGGATCTCACTCACAGAGATCTTTTGCCAGAGTGTCTTGGCTTTCCATGCCTGAAATACTCTCATGGGCTTTTCAGCCAGATCCGAATGCCTTTAGGGCTGATTCTGAGGCCAGAGTGCTATTTAGGACATCTGCCATTCTATGAGTCTGCTGAGTATCTCACTTCCCATGTTGGATCACTCACCCCTTTATTTATTCTATCGGTTAATGTTAGCAGGTACTAGACTTGTTTATGTGCTCCCTTTGACTCTTAGTCCTTTCATTATGATCAACTGTGAACTGAAATTGATCACTTGGAATAGTGAGATGGCATTGGTACATGCCACCTTGATGGGATTGAATTGGAATCCCCTGGTATGTTTCTAACTCTACCATTTGGGGCAAGTCAGCTTGAGCATGTCCCAAATTATACATCTCTTCACTCTCTTATTCCCACTCTTATGTTTAACAGGGATCACATTTCAGTTAATTTTCAACACTTAAGAATAACTGTGTATTAATTACAGAATTAAACCAGTCATATTAAGTAGAACAGACAAAAAAACTACTAAGAGGGATAATGTATTAAGTTAAGAGGCAACTTTTAATAGATGTTTCTCTTGAAAATTCTATTAGAGACTATGTCCATATTTTAAAAAACTGATTATAATTTAAGATTTTTCCAATCTTATTTTCAATGCCTTGAGAAATGTAGTTTTTAAGCTCCCTTTGGGCAATTATTCATAATGGATTCAGCACAGGAAACAAAGTCTTTACATTAACCCAAGGATCACTGAAAAGACAAAACAAAAAGCTGAACAACCCAATCTACCCTGCACAGCACGAGATGCAGCGAGCTTCAGTATGTCTGCATATTTAAACACTTACCTGAATCTTTATTTTTTCTTGAAAGTTCATCAAATTCTTTCCAATTTCCAGTATCTTCCTCAAACCCTCAGCATACAAGATAGAACTTGTATTTTAAAAAAAACATGATTTCATTAAAGATATCCTGCAGGCATAGTCATCAAAGAAAATAATGCGGGTATCTACTTCCTACTCTAAGTGTATTAATTTCATCACTGGAGATGTCCTAACCCAAAATGCCTCTGTCAGTGCTGTGGGGATCTTAGCGTAGTTCTTAAAACCTTAGGCTTCAAGATTACTTACCACAGAAATCGTTTTTGTTTCTAAATCCATCACTTTAATTTGATGATTATTGGTGTCTGCTACATATAACAACTGACCATTTTCTCCAATACACAAGCCTCCTGGCTCATTAAAAGTTGATTCGGTGAAACTGGAACCGGTAACGTTATCTGTGTTTCCAGTTCCTGCTAATGTTGTACAGCTCTTTGTTTTAGGATCCACAATTTTAATCTAAAGAAGAACAAAAATGTATATATCTTTAGATCAATTGCATGCTTGTAGTATGAAAGTGTATAGTATCAAGCAAAGTAGAGAGTTCCTGATTGCCATTATTATTAATAAGAATCAAAAAAGGTAGTTCTATATATTTTTTAAAAATTCAAACATTACAATTACACAGTCTAATGAGAGATATTCCATTCTAAGGGCTAAAAGCTTTGTAAAATCTCAGTTAAATCTTGCCTTCTAGAAGCAATCTTTGATGAAGCATCTGGAATCAAAAACAATTAAATGTTACTGTTTTTCTTCACAGTGGGACACATTTCCAAAAGTGAAGTGACTTTTTTTTTTAAGGATTTAATTGAAAGGCAGAGTTACAGCAAGAGAGAGGGAGACAGACAGAGAGAGAGAGAGAGAGAGAGAGAGAGAGAAATTATCTTCCATTCACTGGCTCACTCCCCAAATGGCCGCAAATGGCTGGGGCTGGGCAGGCCAAAACCAGGAGCCAGGAGCTTCATCCAGGTCTCTTACATGGGTACAGGGGCCCAAGGACTTGTGCTGGCTTCCAGTGCTTTCCCAGGCACATTAGCAGGGAACTGGATTAGAAGTAGAGCAGGGGCCAGCACTGTGGTGTAATGGGTAAAGCAGCTGCCTGCAGTGCTGGCATCCCATATGGGTGACAGTTCAAGTTCTGGCTACTCCACTTCCGATCCAGCTCTCTGCTGTGCCCTGGGAAAGCAGTAAAAGATGGCCCAAGTCCTTGGGCTTCTGCATCCACGTGGGAAAACCTGGAGGAAGCCTCTTGTTCCTGGCTTTGGATTGGTGTGGCTCCAGCTGTTGCACCTAACTGGAGAGTGAACAAGTGCATGGAAGATCTCTCTCTCTCTCTCTCTCTCTCCCTCCCTCCCTCCCTGTGTAACTCTAACTTTCAAATAAATAAAATAAATATTAAAAAAAAAAAAAAGAAGTGGAGCAGCTGGGATCTGAACCAGTGCCCATATGGGATGGGCATCACAGGTGGTGGCATAACCCTCCATGCCACACTGGCCCCACAGTGACCTGCTTTTTCAAGAGCATTTAGCACTGTTTGATGATTTTCTACCTTTTTTAAACTTACTGATTATTAGTTGTATCCCAATTACATTAAATTTATGGTCTCTTATCATGAATAATTAACATTTACCATCTACTGATTTTTTTTTTTTTGACAGGCAGAGTGGACAGTGAGAGAGACAGAGACAGAGAGAGAGAGAGAGAGAGAGAGAGAGAGAGAAAGGTCTTCCTTTACCATTGGTTCACCCTCCAATGGCCACTGTGGCTGGCGCACTGCGCTGATCCAAAGCCAGGAGCCAGGTGCTTCTCCTTGTCTCCCATGTGGGTGCAGGACCCAAGCACTTGGGCCATCCTCCACTACCTTCCCGGGCCACAGCAGAGAGCTGGCCTGGAAGAGGGGCAACCAGGACAGAATCTGGAGCTCCGACCGGGACTAGAACCCGGTGTGCTGGCGCCACAGGCGGAGGATTAGCCTAGTGAGCCATGGCGCTGGCCCCATCTACTGATTTTCTAAAAAAAAGTGCAATAAAAATGAAAGAGCTGAATAGACAAAAATGGAAATGCTGCTGAAAAATGGAATTATTTGCCAACAGGCACTGCATCTATTTAATAGCTTAAAAATGAAAATTTGTTAGTTAACATATTGATTTCTCGGCTATCTGCCTCCCCTTTATCTACTGAGCATATTACAAAGCAGTTTTGATGGATCACAGCCCCTGGAATTGGACTGGTGCTTCCCCAGAGTACCATCACAACTTCTTCTTGGCAAAGAAAGGACCAGAAAAGAAAAGAACAAGCTGGTGTCACATATGGTGTCAAAGACTGCTGTTCCTCTCTGTATTTTAGAGTGGCACTTGGAGAAGGCCCACAAGTCTTTCACCACTTTAAATAGCACATACAAAAGGCAAGGTGTTACATAATTTTGTCAGGGCTCACCTTGTGATTATAGGAGTCTGCCACATAAAGTAGATTCCTTTTGTTGTCCCATGCTACTCCAAGTGGGTGCTGGAGTTTTGCGTTGATTCCTACTCCATCAGCATCACCAAAAGCAAATAAATTCTATTTTTTTTTAAAAAGAAACAGCAGTTATTAAGATTTTTATGCTGCTTTGTTAGGCTATAAAGTGAAAATTAAGATAGGTGAATATGCTATTGGAGTTAAAGGTGAAAATCTGATTTTCATAAGAATAGAGCTAGGTATATAAATAGAGCTTTCTTGATTCAGACCAGTGAGAAATGACAGAATTTAGAACCTGTATTAATCTGTGCTGCTTTGTAGTGTAACTCACAATGGTCACAGTAACCGATCAGGAATAGGCCAAGTCTGCTAGTGCAGTGCTTTTTCCAATCCACTGCCAAGCATTAAATTTACATTTTTCTCGTCTCTCCAGTAATCAATATTTTATCCTTTCTTTCTCCCTGAAGCCTTAACATTTACATACAATCAAGCAGAGTCAGTTTAACTTTCCTAGACGGTCGTGTTATTTATATTTCTTTATGTGCACATTTCCTTCGGTTTGAGTTCCACTGAAACTCATGGATAGGTCAAGAATGATCTCCCCTCAATTGTATTAACTCCCCACACTTCAGGAACTGCCAGCGTGGTCAGTGTCTGAACGCACATGTGACGTGATGTCCTACCGTGGGGTCTCTTTCTCCTCCGACAAGATGCTTCACGGCTCCATCCTTCAGCGAGATGGTTCTCACAGTACTGCTCTCACTGTCTGCTACAAAAAGGCAGTTCCAGGGCTCCTCAGAGGCCAGAGAAAGACCTGAAGGCTGGGCAAAACCTGCCTTGTGAGGATAGGCATTGTTTCGATTCTCTTCATTCCCACTTCCAGCAAACCGAAGACAGGTTCCCTTTTTTAATTCACTAAAAGACAAGTTCACAGATGGGGTCAACATGTGGTATGTTGTGTCCACTATAGTTATTAAACACATGAATGCAAATGACTGAATCACTGGTGATAGGCATTGTTAAAAACAAAAGCAAAAACAAAAACTAGTGATCTTGACTTAGTTAAACTGTGCAAATCAGCATTCACTGTGCTTTTTCTAATTGTTGAATTATTTAGCCACTGTGTAGGGATCTGTTCATTTTTCTTTGAAAATACATAAAACTGAAACTACTCTCAAAAGTCAGACAGGAAATCCCTGACAGGGTGAGAATTATAAAGTAATAACAGTGATCAGATTATTGATGAGATAGTTATTTCCCTACCTTACCCTCTTGACTTCCAAGCTTCATGTAATATTAGTTTCTAAAATGGAACTAAAAAGATTATCTTGATAGTGTAAAACATAAAATTTCATTAAAATGTTTTGTGTTCTTATTTAAAAGTAGAGTCTAGCAAAGGAATTAAAGAATAGTTTTTAAAAGACATTCCTCAGGTATTATAATTTTAAGAGAACAGTACAAGATAATTATGTTACTTTAACTGATCAATTTCTAATATACTAGGAAAATTTCTATTTAAACAGCTATTGCAATAATTCCTTTTGTAATGCAGAGAAAGCTTTATATATTTATATCTTTGTTTACACCAGAGGGAATGCAGAAGCAGTGTATTATGTTCATGAAAGGGAAGAAGTTGACTTAGGATGCAAAATGGGAGACTACAAATATCATTTCTCAATAAGGCACAACGTGCAAAAATCTAAAATGACTGTCACATATCTAAAATGATATGTGGCCAACTCTAAGTTAGTAGGGAGTAGGATACAGAAGCAATGGTATACACAATGCATAAAATACCATCATTTATTCAAGAAACTTACTTATAAAAATAAGTTAACCAGAGGGATATATGTAATAACTAACACACAGACCAAATATACTTGGAGTCTTAACACTTTAAAGCAGGAAACACTCTTAAATAAATAAAACAGTGGGGAAGAAGGTAACTTCTAAAATGTTAGGGGTCATTACCATCTGAAGACTGATATTAAATAAAGCTTCCTAGAAGTTAAGAGGCAAGACAATGTGATCAGAGTGACTATTTTCCTATTATGAATGACAGTGACAACTCTACTTATTAGGAAATTTAGGTAGCCCTTGACCATCTATGTCTAAAACAGCCACCACCCAGAACAGCGTATTCCAGCAAGCGGTCACTTCTGCCTGCTTTTTATAGTTATGCCCACGTGCAACGTTACTGCTGACCCCAGTGCTCAGGCTGCTGTCATCTCTTGCCGGGATAGCAGCAGTACCTCCTCCAGGGACCTCTGTCTCTAGTCCTGTCCCACTCTGAGTGCTGCCGTCACTCTTTTTTTTTTTTTTTTCTTGGTTAGAATTTTTTTTAACTTTATTTAATGAATATAGATTTCCAAAGTACAGCTTATGGATTACATTGGCTCCCCCCCCCCATAACTTCCCTCCCACCCACATCCCTCCACTTTCCATTCACATAAAGATTCATTTTCAATTCTCTTTATATACAGAAGATCAGTTTAGCATACATTAAGTAAAGATTTCAACAGTTTGTACCCACATAGAAACACAAAGTGAAAAATACTGTTTGAGTACTAGTTATAGCATTAAATCTCAATGTACAGCACACTAAGGACAGAGATCCTACATGAGGAGTAAGTGCACAGTGACTCCTGTTGTTTACTTAACAAATTGACACTCTTGTTTATGGCATCAGTAATCAACCTAGGCTCTTGTCATGAGTTGCCAAGGCTATAGAAGCCTTTTGAGTTCACCGACTCTGATCATATTTAGACAAGGTCGTAGTCAAAGTGGAAGTTCTCTCCTCCCTTCAGAGAAAGGTACCTCCTTTTTTGATGACCTGTTCTTTCCACTGGGATCTCACTCGTGGAGATCTTTCATTTAGGTTTTTTTTTTTTTTTTTTTTTTTGCCAGAGTGTCTTGGCTTTCCATGCCTGAAATACTCTCATGGGCTTTCAACCAGATCCACGTGCCTTAAGGGCTGATTCTGAGGCCAGAGTGCTGTTTAGGACATCTTCCATTCTATGGGTCTGCTGTGTATCTCGCTTCGCATGTTGGATTGTTCTCTCCCTTTTTTATTCTATCAGCTAGTATTTGCAGACACTAGTCTTGTTTATGTGCTCCCTTTGGCTCTTAGTTCTATCATTATGATCAATCGTGAACAGAAATTGATCACTGGGACTAGTGAGATGGCGTTGGTACATGCCACCTCGATGGGATTGAATTGGAATCCCCTGGTATGTTTCTAATTCTACCATTTGGGGTAAGTCAGCTTGAGCATGTCCCGAATTGCACATCTCTTCCCTCTCTTATTCCCACTCTTATATTTAATAGCGATCACTTTTCAGTTAAGTTTCAACACTTAAGAATAACTGTGTATTGACTACAGTATTCAACCAAAAGTATTAAGTAGAACAAACAAACAAAAAATACAAAGAGGGATAACGTATTAAGTTGTTCTTCAACAGTCAGGGCAAGGGCTGATCAAGTCACCATTTTCTCGTAGTGTTCATTTCACTTTAACAGGTTTCCTTTTTGGTGCTCAGTTAGTTGTCACCAATCAGAGAGAACATATGATATTTGTCCCTTTGGGACAGGCTTATTTCACTCAGCATAATGTTTTCCAGATTCCCAGGACCAGATGGATTCACTGCTGAATTCTACCAGACATTTAAAGAAGAACTAACTCCAATTCTTCTCAAACTATTCAGAACAATCGAAAAAGAGGGAATCCTCCCAAATTCTTTCTATGAAGCCAGCATCACCTTAATTCCTATGCCGGAAAAAGATGCAGCACTGAAAGAGAATTACAGACCAATATCCCTGATGAACATAGATGCAAAAATCCTCAATAAAATTCTGGCCAATAGAATGCAACAACACATCAGAAAGATCATCCACCCAGACCAAGTGGGATTTATCCCTGGTATGCAGGGATGGTTCAATGTGCCCAAAACAATCAATGTGATACACCACATTAACAGACTGCAGAAGAAAAACCATATGATTATCTCAATAGACGCCGAGAAAGTATTTGATAAAATACAACACCCTTTCATGATGAAAACTCTAAGCAAACTGAGTATGGAAGGAACATTCCTCAATACAATCAAAGCAATTTATCAAAAACCCAAGGCCAACATCCTATTGAATGGGGAAAAGTTGGAAGCATTTCTACTGAGATCTGGTACCAGACAGGGATGCCCACTCTCACCACTGCTATTCAATATAGTTCTGGAAGTTCTAGCCAGAGCTATTAGGCAAGAAAAAGAAATTAAAGGGATACAAATTGGAGCCGGCACCATGGCTCAATAGGCTAATCCTCCGCCTTGTGGCGCCGGCACACCGGGTTCTAGTCCCGGTCGGGGCGCCGGATTCTGTCCCAGTTGCCCCTCTTCCAGGCCAGCTCTCTGCTATGGCCCGGGAGTGCAGTGGAGGATGGCCCAAGTCCTTGAGCCCTGTACCCGCATGGGAGACCAGGAAAAAGCACCTGGCTCCTGGCTTCGGATCAGCGCGATGCACCGGCTGCAGCGCGGTGGCTATTGGAGGGTGAACCAACAGCAAAAGGAAGACCTTTCTCTCTGTCTCTCTCTCTCTCACTGTCTACTCTGCCTGTCAAAATAAATAAATAAATAAATAAATAAATAAAGGGATACAAATTGGGAAGGAAGAACTCAAACTATCCCTCTTTGCAGATGATATGATTCTTTACTTAGGGGACCCAAAGAACTCTACTAAGAGACTATTGGAACTCATAGAAGAGTTTGGCAAAGTAGCAGGATATAAAATCAATGCACAAAAATCAACAGCCTTTGTATACACAGACAATGCCATGGCTGAGGAAGAACTTCTAAGATCCATCCCATTCACAATGGCTACAAAAACAATCAAATACCTTGGAATAAACTTAACCAAGGACATTAAGGATCTCTACGATGAAAATTACAAAACCTTAAAGAAAGAAATAGAAGAGGATACCAAAAAATGGAAAAATCTTCCATGCTCATGGATTGGAAGAATCAATATCATCAAAATGTCCATTCTCCCAAAAGCAATTTATACATTCAATGCAATACCAATCAAGATACCGAAGACCTTCTTCTCAGATCTGGAAAAAATGATGCTGAAATTCATATGGAGACACAGGAGACCTCGAATAGCTAAAGCAACCTTGTACAACAAAAACAAAGCCGGAGGCATCACAATGCCAGATTTCAGGACATACTACAGGGCAGTTGTTATCAAAACAGCATGGTACTGGTACAGAAACAGATGGATAGACCAATGGAACAGAATAGAAACACCAGAAATCAATCCAAACATCTACAGCCAACTTATATTTGATCAAGGATCCAAAACCAATCCCTGGAGTAAGGACAGTCTATTCAATAAATGGTGCTGGGAAAACTGGATTTCCACGTGCAGAATCATGAAGCAAGACCCCTACCTTTCACCTTACACAAAAATTCACTCAACATGGATTAAAGACTTAAATCTATGATCCGACACCATCAAATTACTAGAGAGCATTGGAAAAACCCTGTAAGATATAGGTACCGGCAAAGACTTCTTGGAAAATACCCCAGAAGCACAGGCAGTCAAAGCCAAAATTAACAACTGGGATTACAACAAATTGAGAAGTTTCTGTACTGCAAAAGAAACAGTCAGGAAAGTGAAGAGGCAACTGACAGAATGGAAAAAATATTTGCCATCACTCTTTCAAAAACACAAATCTACTCATGTCACTTCCGAGGTTAAAACTTTCTGCAAAGACTTGTAGAATGTCCAAATTTCTTAAAAGAACTCACAAGGCACTGTGTGATCTGGGTTATGCTGACATGGTTAGTGTTATCTCTTGCCTGGAAAACCTCCCACTCTTCCTAATTCATACTTCTCTATCAGGTCTCAGTTTAGAATGCCTCGTCCAGGATGCCTTCCCTGAATCACAAACATTTTTAAAAATATTTATTTATTTGAAAGGCAGAGTTACACAGAGACAAAGAGAGACAGAGAGACGGATCTTCCATCCACTGGTTTACTCCCCAAATGGCCACAATGGCTGGGAGCCTCTTCCAGGTCTCCCACATGGGTCCAAAGGCCCAAGAACTACTGGGCTATCTTCTGCTTCTTTCCCAGGCACATTTGCAGGGAGCTGGATTGGAAGTGGAGCAACTGAGACTCCAACTGGTGCCCATATGGGATGCCGGTGCTGCAGGCGGAGGCTTAAACAGCTACACCACAGCGCCGGCGCCGGGATCTCAAATCTTACCGGCTATTTCTCTTATGTAAGGGACAACTGCAATGCAAAGGGCTGCTGCAGCGCTCTTCTCACACATACTATTTTTAAAGCGTGTGCTGATCAGATTCTCCCTCTGCAAGCCAGCTGTATTCATGTTATCCTTAACACAGCAAGCCTGTCACTTCACCACCACCACCTAGCATAGAGCCCAGCAGGTAGTATGTTTATTAATACTTGTTAGATGAATGATTAAATGTTATAAAACATAAAATAAATGCACTGCAAAGCAACATACATACACCATCAGGAGTATCCAATAGTCTTACAACAGTATTTATACAACTGCTTCCTTCTACTGATAAAATAACTGAGATGACCAGCATTTAATTTCTATGTTGATTTTTACAGCCTTAATGGTCTATAACATTTTTCTGCAAATTTTTCCTGGGCTCCTACTATGTACCAGATTCTGTGCCACATATAAAATGAAAAATGAATGGCACAGGGCCCCTTCCTTTAAGAGGCAGTCCTATAGTAGGAAATAGTTAAAAATGAGTGTAGGAAAAAAGAGAGAAGGAGAAAGAGCGAAAAGGAGGGAAGGCAGGTGAACTTATCAGTGCAGCGGGTACAGTGAGGTCACAGAGGAGAGCGTGGCCAGTGCTGCCTGAGGTGACTGGGAGATGAAAGGCTGTATATCAGGTATGAGAAACTTCATAGAGATGTTACTTTTATACCTTTATATGCCCTCCAGAGGCTGCAAAGCCACCCATGTTTACTGCATATGTCACGCACTGTGCTGAGCTCTTTACACACATTAAATCTCAAAACAAGTCTATAAAGAAACAGATTTAGAAAGTTGCAGTGGCCTCCTAAACTCACACAGATAACAAGTGGTAAGCTAGGACTCAATTTCAAAATCTGAGCTATCAACCACTCCGCTATGCTACACTCAACTGTTAAAACAAATGATTGGAGACACCTACACTACGTCTTAAAAGACTAGGGCTTGGGGCCGGCGCTGTAGCATAGCAGGTAAGGCTGCCTCCTGCAGTGCCAGCATCCCATATGGGCACCAGTTCAAGTTCCAGCTGCTCCACTTCTGATCCAGCTCTCTGCTATGGCCTGGGAAAGCAGTACAAGATGGCCCAAGTCCTCGGGCCCTTGCACCTGCGTGGGAGACCCAGAAGAAGCAACTGGCTCTGGCTTCAGATTGGCGCAGCTCCGGCCATTGCAGCCAAATGGGGAGTGAACCAGCAGATGGAAGACACTCTCTATCTCTCTCTTTCTGCCTCTCCTTCTCACTCTGTGTAATTCTGACTCTCAAAAAAATAAACAAATCTTTAAAAATAAACAAAAAGATTAGGGCCCATCAAATATTTCCAGTTCTCTTTCTGGATGCTTGGGAAGATTGTTCTTTCCAGATTCATTGTAGGTGTGGCTTTAAGACTGGCTGGGGCTAGCATTGTAGTATAGCAGGTAAAGCCAATGCCTGCAACACAGGCATCTCTTATGGGAAGTGGTTCAAGTCCTGGCTGTTCTACTTCCAAACCAGCTCCCTGCTAATGTGCTTTGGAAGGCAGAAAAAAGAAGGCTCAAGTCCTCAGGCCTCTGCATCCACATGGGAGACCTTGGAAGAAGCTCCTGGCTCCTGGCTTCAGTCTGGTCTGTCTCAGGCCATTGCAGCCATTTGGGAGTGAACCACCAGAGAGATCTCTCTCTCTCTGTCACTCCCTCTCTCTCTCTGTAATTCTGCCTTTCGAATAAATAAATAAATCTTAAAAAAAAAAAAAAGAAAGACTGGGTGATGAGATGTGAGAAGTGATATGTGTCACTTTTGAGTAGGTGTCATAGGAGCTGTAAGAGCCAGTGACTGACTCACCGACCCCCTCCCTCTTACTCTGCCAGGATGACTGGCAAGGCTCTAGGCGTCAGCCACTTGGTCAGCCTGAGTGGCAGAGTAGTACTCCCTGACACGTCGGTGTGACAGGCAAGAAATAAGTCTGTTTAAAGCCACTGGGAATCTGTGTTGGTTGTTACACAAGTATGACCTGGCATATCCTAACTCAAATAATGGGTATCATAAGGATGGAAAAGGGACTTCCAGAAATTCCAAGCAGTGCAGTCCACACAGAGAGACACAGGTGCTGGCACTGTGGTACAGCAGGTTTAAGTTGCTGCCTGCGATGCCAGCATTCCATATGGGCACTGGTTCAAGTCTTGGCTGTTCCACTTCCAATCTAGTTCCCTGTTAACGTGTATGGGAAAGCAGTGGAAGGTGGCCCAAGTATTTAGACCCTTGCACCCATATGGGAGACCTGGATGAAGCTCCTGGCTTCAGCCTGGCCCAGCCCTAGTTATTGTGGTCATTTGGGGAGTGAACTCTCACTCTCTCTCTCTCTCTCTGTAACTCTTTCAAATAAATAATCCTTAAAGAGACAGAGAGGGAGACAGAGGGAGGAAGGAGGGAGAGAGGGAGAGAGGGAGAGAGGGAGGGAGAGAGAGAGGGAGGGAAGGAGGGAGAGAGAGAGAGGGAGGGAAGGAGGGAAGGAGAGAGACACAGTCACTTACTTTTTCTTTGGCAGTTTGCAAGAGTCCAATAGGAGTGCCCATATCTGATGGGTCCCTGCCATGGCTATCCATAGAATGTCATCTCTTTGGACCTCTGAACCTTTAGAAAAATAAAGAGCAATTAGTACATACATAGTTGGTAAATAGGAACACTCCAATTGCTTCGGAAATCCAAACCCATGAACGATAACAATATTGCTTATGAATCATTTGATACAAAATAAGATCATCTGCAATGTTTTCAGTTTTGAAAATTTTCTGTTATCTTTATGTATAAGGTCTGTTTCTTTAGATTTATAATTTTACCTGTATTTCACAGGAATCCAAAGTATACTTAATAGCAACACATTCTTCTGTATCTCTGGTTACAATATTTTTAAAAATTTTATTTCTTATTTTATGTGGCAGAAGAAAAAGGCTGACGCATACTCTTCAAAGAAACTCTTTACCAGTCAAATACTGAGCTCTTATCATCTAAGATATATTCTTAAGTAACTGGTTCTTTGAACAATTTCAATGAAAGAACTGTATGTTTTAAGAACTTAAGAAATATATATTGGTGCCACAGTATTAAATTTGTGACTTAGACACAAATCAAAATAGCTATTTAAAAATTAATGTGCATCATCAGCATCCCATATGGATGCTTGTTAGTGTCCTGGCTGCTCTTCTTCTGATCCAGCTCTCTGTTAATGGCCTGGGAAAGCAGTGGAGGATGGCCCAAGTGCTTGGGCCCCTGCACTCACATGGGAGACCCAGAAGAAGCTCCTGGTTACTGGCTTTGGATCATCCCAGCTCCAGATGTTGTGGCTATTTGGAGATGGAAGACCTTTCTCTCTCTCTGTATCTTCTTCCCTCTGTTAACTCTGCCTCTCAAATAAATAAATGAATCTTTTAAAAAAAATTTATGTTGGCAGGGTTGGCATTGTAGGGTAAGGTTACCACTTGCTATGCCAGCATTCTATACTGGAATGCCAGTTTGACCCCGGCAACTCTGCTTCCAATCCAGCTTCCTGCTAATCACCTGAGAATGCAGTGAAACATGGTCCAAGTACTCAGCCCCTGCCACCAGTGTGGAAGAAGACCTAGCCTGAGTTCCAGGTCTGACTGTTGAGGGTATTTGGGGAGTAAATCAGCAGATGGACAATCTAATTCTCTGCCTTCCTTTCAAATAAAATAAAATAAATAAAAAATGTTGAAACATCATTATTTGGTGCTGGCTAACAGTTAAGATGCTCGCGTCTCATATTAGAATGCCTGGGTTTGATCTCTGACTCCACTCCTGATTCTAGTTTCTTGCCAGTGTGGACAGAACCTGGAGAGTAGCAGGTAATATTTCAAGCAGTTGGACCCCTGCTACTGGGAGCCTGGATAGAATTCTTGGCTTCTGGCTCTGGATCACAAAAGCAACGAGGTAAGTACTATTAGTAGGCACAGTTTACAAATGAAGGAACCAAGGCTGAGGAGGGTTAGGTAACTTGCCAGGATCACGGAACCAGTAAATTACAGAACTGGAATCTGAACCAAGGCAGCCTGAGAGAAAAACCTACACCCTTAATCATTTCACACGCTGCCTGTTTTTAACACTATCTGATAAAGCTAAAAAAAAATTTATTTTTTACTTTTTCATACTCAATTATGTTTGTAAAATTAAACTGTACTAAAAGTGACAAGGATGTCATATAATCTGGGAAGTCACTGCCTAACTGCCTTCAAACTACATATAAATAAAGCTTTCCATAATTAGTTTTTAACATACGCATTGCTCTTCTGGTCATTCTAGGGCCACAAAGTGGGACTATTAGAATAAATAAGAAACCTAAGTCAATAAAGCATTATCTGGTATGTTAGAGATAAGTGACATTCCATGAAAGATGGACACATGTGACGCACACAAAACAAGGCTTGGAGATGACAATGCTCAAATATTAGCCATGATCATATAATGAATCTGGATCTGAATTCTACAGCATCCCAAGGGAAGTATCCCCCATGGACAGGGGACACTACAGTCATCCTAGAACATTTACATAAGGAGTACATTATTACAAAATACTTTTATGCTTAAAAGCTATGTAAATTTTTTAAAAGAAAAATATGTGCATGTTGGTGAATTACATTACTTATGAATTTAGGTATGGTAAAGGAAGCTTTTCAAATAATTTGTTACAGGAAAGGGGTTTGGAGATCTTACAGAGTTGAGAACTCATATACAAGTAAAATTTGCCATTATCTATAACAAGTTTCCATTCATGACAAAAAAAAACTCTTAGCAAAGCAGGATCAGAATACAACTTACTTTTTTTTTTTAACTTTTATTTAATGAATATGAATTTCCAAAGTACAGCTTATGGATTACAATGGCTTCCCCCACATACCGTCCCTCCCACCCATAACCCTCCCCTTTCCCACTCCCTCTCCCCTTCCATTCACATCAAGATTCATTTTCAATTATCTTAATATACAGAAGATCAGCCTAGTATACATTAAGTAAGGATTTCAACAGTTTGCTCCCACACAGAAACATAAAGTGAAAAATAATAGATGATTTTTTTAAATGATGATGAAATCAGATCAGACCTATTGTCATGTTTAATCCCAGTGAGAGTCAAGTTGGGAATTGATAATTTCTTTTTTTTTTTTCTTTTCTTTTTTTTTTTTTACAGAAGATCAGTTTAGTATGCATTAAGTAAAGATTTCAACAGTTTGCACCCCCATAGAAACACAAAGTGAAATATATTGTTTGAGTACTCGTTATAGCATTAAATCTCAATGCACAGCACATTAAGGACAGAGATCCTACATGAGGAGTAAGTGCACAGTGACTCCTGTTGTTGACTTTACCAATTGACACTCCTGTCTATGGCATCAGTAATCTCCCTATGCTCCAGTCATGAGTTTCCAAGGCTATGGAAGCCCTCTGAGTTCTCCGACTCTTATCTTGTTTAGACAAGGTCATAGTCAAAGTGGAGGTTCTCTCCTCCCTTCAGAGAAAGGTACCTCCTTCTTTGAAGACTTGTTCTTTCCACTGGGATCTCACAGAGATCTTTTTGCCAGAGTGTTTTGGCTTTCCATGCCTGAAATACTCTCATGGGCTTTTCAGCCAGATCCGAATGCCTTTAGGGCTGAGAATACAACTTACTTAATTTGAGAAAAAGTATTTTTTCTAAAGAACCTATAGCAAACATCACATTTAAAAGTAAAACACTGCAAACATTTCCTAAGAAATGAGGAAAACATACCTACTATCAACACCTCTGCTTAGCATCATATAGAGGGTCTAGCTTGTGTAACAAAGTAGGAAAAAGAAGTAAAAACCACAGATCATAAATAAATTCTAATTATCAGCAGATGACATGATTGCATACATAGAAAATCTTTAACATTTTACAGAAGGACTATCACAATTCATGAAAATTCCTGTGCATGTAAGGTCAGTGAGCAAGAATGAATCCTACTTCTATACCAGCAAACAAACAGAAAACACACTTTATAATGGCATTAGAACCCACCAAATACCTGAGGGTAATTTAGCAGAATATGTACATAAGCCTTTGCACTGAGCATTACTTTGGGAAGAACCACAGGTTTTTACGCAACTTACTCTCATTGAAAAGTGAGCCTTGGCCAGTGATAGATAACAAATGGACAAGGCATCAGCAATTAAGATAAAATGACTCCATTCTTTCAGCTTCTAAGGCCATAAACCCTGGAGTCATCCTTAATTCCCCTTTCTGTAACATGCCACAAAGCACTCATCAGCAAATTCTGTTGGCTGTCTGGAATCCGGCCAATTGTTACCTCTTTGACCTTGATCTAAACCACCAATTACTGCAAGGATTACCTCCTACCTGATCTGCCACTCATTCCCATCCTGATCATGGCCTCTTCCATATGCATATCCTAGTGTAAGAAAATCTGGGAAGGGCGAGTTATGCAGATTTAGCTAGACTCGTACTAGTGTGTATCTGACTGAAAGACCAAATTTGGCCTCCTTATCTAGTTCTCCCATTAATGTAGCTGAGCTTCAGTAATAAAATATAAGCATTTATTTGTTCTTGGTCTTTGTTTTCTTTTCTTTTCTTTTTCTTTTTTTTGACAGGCAGAGTGGACAGTGAGAGAGAGAGACACACACAGAGAAAGGTCTTCCTTTTCCATTGGTTCACCCTCCAATGGACGCTGCGGCCAGCGCACCATGCTGATCCAAAGCCAGGAGCCAGGTGCTTCTCCTGGTCTCCCATGCGGGTGCAGGGCCCGAGGACTTGGGTCATCCTCCACTGCACTCCCGGGCCACAGCAGAGAGCTGGACTGGAAGAGGAGCACACGGGAAAGAAACCGGTGCCCCGACCGGGACTAGAACCCAGGGTGCCAGCGCCGCAGGTGGAAGATTAGCCTAGTGAGCAGTGGCGCCAGCCTGTTCTTGGTCTTTGTGTCCCACTACCTTTAGAAGCCCAAAGAATGAGAAAATGTATTGAAGCAGAGGCTGGCTCAGGCCAAGACTGGGGTGTTGAGGGTTCCATACCAACTGGGGTTGGTGGTGATAATGATAACCGTCCAGAACACTTTTTGGTCAAGGCACTGAGCTGAGCACTACTGCGCAGTTTACTTCCTTTTACGTAACAATTCTAAGTCTTATTAGCGTCACCTTCATTATATAAAGAAACAGAAATTCAAATTTAAATAATTCACTGAAATCCACATGGCTAAACTTGAATGTGAGTCTCACTAGCAAATCCAACTCAGGATCACAGGTGCTCTGGTTAAGACTGAAAGAACTGTGGAAGCTGAGTTTGTGTTCTGTCCAGTTCTCTGCTTAGACCCATTTCCTTCCACCTTCTGCCTCTGATCCATGGATTTGGCTCTGGCTTCAAGTATACCAGGGCATTTTCAGGAATTTGATCGAATGTACCCACAGCTAGCTTCTTGCTGCAGAATTTATAGCTGAGTTAACCCCTGTCTATCTTTCTGTAGCCCCTTGGAGTGTTCCACAGTGGTTGGGTAATCTCCTAAAAGTGTATTTTCCAGTCCCTTGACTTCCCCTTTTTGCATCTCTTGGTGACTTTTATGACAAAACTCTGTTTTACAGCAAACAATGATAAC